TGATGATGAATAAACTTCAAACTTCAAACTTCAAACTTCAAATACGAAAAAAAGCCAAGTACGTTGTTCTCGCCTATATAACCGAGAAGTGAAACCCGAAACGCGTGGTCTGTTCATCGAGCAAACAATCATTGATAAAGTGAATGCATATACTGTGCGCATATACTGTGACATTAGACTGCTCATTCCACTTGCACATAGACAATTTGTGCAGAAAACTAAGCTTTGGATGATTTGCATTACTTAAGGCTACAAACTATTTCAGCGTACACATACTCCGTTTTTTATACCTAAGAGTGTTTTTTTTCATTCTCAGTTCCAACTTATTGCATCGCGTCATGGAGCTACACATATTGCTCGGTTGTTACCATTTAGCGAGAAATAGCTCGATGAACCATTCCACCAAAGAATGCACCGTTGGCTGAAATTTTCAGGAATCTCAACATAATACTTCGTAATATGGTTAGGAAATGCAAGGGCAGTATTAGTACACAAAATAATGAATAATAATGTACCATTTCACGCATAAATTTCATTAAAACCCAGATGCCATACTCGGCAGGCCGAACAAGAAAATCTTGATCTGCCGATAGTACACAATGTCTATGGCCGTCGAACAGTTTGTTGCTGATAAAATGTGGAACGGTATCCCTACCCAAATTAAATGTCTGCCAAATATGATGCAGACAGTCAGGAAACTCTTTCTATCAAGGAGTTACCAGTCATGTATGTACATGTCACATTATTTCTGTTTTTTCCCCTACATTACCGCGTTTCATTGTGTGATTTGTGATACAATTCTCTATATAGATTGTACTCGCTAAATAACTCACAGCATGCCTTGTATGTAACGGAACCTTAACTATCCATATATTGGCTACGTATCCGCATGTTTTCGCAGAAATGTTTCGTTAATATATTCATTTAAAAATAAACAATTCTTTTTCTTTCATCTCTCAACTCACTATAGGGCGTGGCCATATGTTCAGTCCAAACATTTTGCTTACTTTCAAAGTTCTTTTTAGGGATTGTTGGATTGTCGGTTGAGGTTGATCTATATGAAGTATATTCATCTGTTCATAGAGTTGAATACGCTATTTTTCGTAATGAGAATACTCTAAATAACATGCCTCACTTCATTGTCAAAATTATCACACTCTTATAATTCCGCACGTTCTTAAGTATATATATATATATATATATATATATATATATATATATATATATATATATATATATATATATATATATATATACACGGTAATGTAGGGAGATTTCTTTGATGAGACAATACAGTGGTGCCAAGCCTGAAACCGGGCATGTGGAAAGGGGTGGGTCCGTTCTACTAACGTACTCGGCTATTTGTTGGGCCAGCTGTTGCCTTCTTCATTTTCAGTGGACTGGTGGCCAGATGTGCTCTGTTATTGTGACGCATACCTGATGCCCCGTCAATACATGACACACCGTCACGACAGAAGGTGACAGAAACCAAACACCTGATGTGCTTGGAGCCTATGATGATGCGCGTATCTTTCCAAAGGGAACATTGATGGAATGCGATGTATAGCAGCCTTGCGCACTGAGATTCGGCGCTGGGCGCGCGGCACTTCCGAGACGTTCCCGACGACGTCGAGCATTCGCCGGCGTTGGTCTTCCGCTGTCGGCTTCCTTGGCTCGCGTCTCGTCGGTGTTACCCGCGTGCCTCTCGAACGCGATCGGCGCGCTTGACCCGCACTTCGTCGGTGTCGCTCTTCTTCCACTGCCGACGCTTGCGTTCGGCTTCCCTGGCTCGCGCATCGTCGGTGTTACAGGCACGACATTGCCATTCGCGAACGCGATCGGATCTGCTAACCCTCGCAATGCCGGTGACGGCCGGGGTCAAATCGCTTCGACGCCTGTTTCGGCGGGCGAAGGAGCTTCGCATTCCGGTGTCGTCTTCATCGCAAATAAACGAGCCGAGTGTTCACTCGATGTGCGCTCGAACGCTGCGAGCAGTGGAGAGGGTGGAGCGAGAAAGAAGTGACACGCGGCGAGCGCGTGACAGGTGAGGGTGCGACTGACGTCACCGTGAACTGCGAGGAAAGGCGTGACCTACTTAGCACCGCCCTAACCCCTGCAACGAGGGGAGCGCGGTGCGGCGCGTTGGCACGGAGACACGGACGGACAGCGTTACGCAGGCTAGTCAGAGAGCTGCTTGGCATTCTCGTTGATGAGCCAATAAGTCTTTAACTGCTGCAAATAAAGTGTTTAAAACGAAATTCAGGAATGCAAGACGTGTATAAAAAAAGACATGGGCATTCGAGACCACGATATATGCAAGCCGGTCGAGGGACTCGTCGTCCCAGTCCATCGATGCGCGCAGTGAAACTTGTGCAATGCGGTGAAATGGTGATATTTAAGCAAACTCTGTTGGAGGTATGTTAACCTCGAAAATTTCTATCGTGCCTAAAATTAATTTTCAAAAGAGATATTGGTGTACTCGGAATGCCAATAGACAAGCTCATCTTTGATGCACTGTAATTTGTCTGGACTCGAAAATAACGCTGGAAAGTGAACCAAAACCGGAACTTCGGCATGTCCCCGGGCTTTTTTTTCTTTCCTTTCTTTTTTTAAGAAAATGAATGCGGTGTTTTGTCAACAAAGTATCCGTGTGTAGTAGCATAAAGTACGTACACTCTAATAGAAAAAGTTGAAAAACAACTGTGACATGTTTTATTTATGTTTGCCGAGAAATGTATAATTTTGTGAAAATTTACAACAAATTAAGAACATTGCCACCCCGCATTTGCCAGTAATTTACAGACATATTATTGAAGACCACTTCTCAATCGTTCTACAGGCGAAGTTTTGCTTTGCTCCTCTAAAAGCAAGTTTCATGTTAACTTCTTGTAGAGCCACGGTTTGCACATATCAGCGAACCGTGTAAGTCTCTCAAGTCCTGTGAGTATGGTGCTGCCCTCTTTGTTGAACTTCAAATGTGGTGGCGACTACTCGCTTCGTTCCGGTCTTTGATGGTGAGCATGGACGAGATAGATCTAAAAGAAGAGAGAGAAAACTCTATTGCCGATCAGCAAACACCACTCAGGGATAGCTATCCCTGAGTGGGGACCGTGAGTTCGCGCCTTATGGCGGCCAACCTGAGTGCACGAAGTTATACACCTCCGGATCTGCAGGGCTGAGCAGCACTGCCTCCACTCAAGAGGGGTTACTCTAGGTAACGGATCCTGCGAGCATTTCCAAATTATGTCGTCGAGTGTGGCTCATTGAATCGGATGTTCGAGCAAGCTGGTATACTTTAATACACAGGTTAAATTGACCACGCCAAAGAAGAAAAAGAAATCCACATTTAGCACGACAATACTATGATCCCACATCTAGCCGGTGTATCGATATCCCTAACTGCAGTGTCGACCGAGCAAAGACGCATTTTTTCTTGGATGGATGGATAAACTTCATTGTATGGTCCTTCGGAAGCGCGGGCCGCTTGATGTCGCAAAGCACGTTCCTGAGGACCGCAGTATATCTTATTCATCCATGCACTCCGAAGTACGACTTAGCTGGGTCGCCAGTGATACTGATACGCCAGCTAGATGTGGCTTGTTTAGTATTCATTGGCCGAGGGAGGTACAGGTTGGGAGGCGAGGGTTAATATACCCCCTTCTCGGTTTTATATATACATACAAACACATGCAAGAATACCGGGATGATTAAACCCTCCATGAAGACAAATTCTTGGTGCACTATTGTTTTTCAAACCTCGCGCAACAAGGTTTGGAAAGCAGTGAGCAGGAGGTCATCAGTGAGTACTTTCGTATACGAAGTCACCTACTGATGACCTCCCGCTTTTTGGATATCTCCTTGGAGGTGTGCATGATGGCCTTAATCGGGAAAATTTTCGAGGAAAAATACTCTGAGCAACGATCTGGCCTGCGTGGGATACAGCAAAGCCACATGGTCTTCTTTTTTTTATTTTACTATTTCGAAAAAAAAAGCATGCGGTATGTTTAAGTAACCCGGGACGCTTGCAACTGAATCACCCTTCTGTCGCATTCCAAACAAACGACCAAAGTTTTCTGTCTGTTTCGAGACACGAAGAATTGCGTTGGCTCCTTTGTTTCTCGAGCAGCAGCGTTTTCGCCGGCGACAACGGATCATAACGCAGCTGCGGATGGCTTCGTCCAGAAAACTCTTGTTCCATACAATGCGACTTTCCGTCTTGAAAGCTCTTAGAAGACATGGTGAAGAAAAAAAACAAGAGCCTTCATCGCCTTCACGATCACAGTATACGTGCTTGTTTTTATATACGACAGGGCTGCCCCGCGAAATCCGCATTCGCAGATTGTTACGGAAGGTTCCCGGATTTTATTTACGGGCTCTCACGCTTGATCGAACAAGCAGTTTCGTCGCTCGCATCTCGGCCACACTTTCCCTCCAACCCTTTCAGGAAGAAAGGGGGATGACACGAAATGATATCTTGCGACCAGTAAGCGTTATGCGAACATATCTCACGCTTCGGGGCCAGGGGCGGTTCTGTATGTGTGCACGTCGCGTTGTTTCATGCCAGTTGGCCGCAGTGCGCCGCCGAGAGAAGACCTCCTCCCACGTACCGGAAAGGGGGCAAGCAACACTGGAGCCCGCGTCGCCCAACGACGCTGAAACACAGGGGCCAAACGTGCGGCCGAAAAACACCGTCGTACCAAACACCCGAATCACAGCTTTGGCCGCCCTCTTCCTTTGCCACCCGCAACGAAAGCAGCCCCCCCCCCACCCCCCTTCCGAAAACATCGTGCCAAGCGGGAAGGCGTGCCGAGGGCGCTGCGATCGATAAAGGAGGAAAGAAAGGGGGCGTGGACACGGGAGGGGAGGGACTTGCACAGTGACCGCCCTCCGCGGTTATATAAGGTACTCCCGTATACTCGGACATTCGCATCCGTTCCGCCGTTAGCGAAGCATGGCGGCAGATCACGGCGGCCCGTTCAGCATCCGGCGACTCATAAGCGATGACTTCCAAGCCCACGACGACGGCAGCGCCCTCAAGTACTACGACGTCGAGCGCTTCGAGCCGCGAGAAGCCGCCGTTCAGTTACAACGCCCTCATCATGATGGCCATCCGCCAGAGCCCGGAAAGACGTCTCACCCTGAACGGCATCTACGAGTTCATCATGGACCGGTTCCCCTACTACAGGGACAACAAGCAGGGCTGGCAGAACTCCATCCGCCACAACCTGAGCCTCAACAAGTGCTTCGTCAAGGTGCCGCGTCACTACGACGACCCGGGCAAGGGCAACTACTGGATGCTGGACCCGAGCAGCGACGACGTCTTCATCGGCGGCAGCACGGGCAAGCTGCGCAGGCGGTCGGCCGCGCGGGGAAGCCGCCTGCAACTGCACGCCGCCGCGGCGGCCGCCCTCAAGCAGCACCAGCACAGGGCTTCCCTGCACGCCGCCATCCAGCCGCATCACCTGGCAGCGTGGCCTTCGTCGTGGCTTCTACGGTGTCAGCTGGCCGCCGCAGCAGCCGGCCTTCTGCTGTGGCCGCCGCCTCCGTCGGCCGGATGCTGCGGATTGCCCGCCGCTACTCATCACTCCGTTCCCCTTCCCGTGGCGTCGACTTCGGTGCAGAACCCGCAGTCTTCGTCCACGACGGCTCTGGCGCCGTTGTACAGGCCCGTGGCTGTGCTTAGCAGGCACAGCTAGCGCGTGGGACCCTCCCGCGGGAGAGACGATCTGGTTTTCGTAGGTTGTGATAACATCCATCCCGTATACTGTGCAGGGGAGTGCTCCCCGCGTGGAAACAAGATCAAAGGCTCCGACCGACCCCGTCGGCAAAAGAAGAAAGGGAGCGCTTTTCGCGCGGTTGACAATGGACACCGCCCAGGTGACGACTCCATTCGGCGAGCGCCTTTTCTTCCGAGCGCATGCAAACGCGTCGCATGTCAAGAGCGCCGCAAAAGAGAACCGCCCTGTCACCGCAGCGTCGGCCGCAAACAGTGTGTGTACACGGTGGGGACAACACGGGGCCAACAAGCCGAGACAAGCCAAAGCCGCCGACATGCGCGCTCCCTTTTGCCAGCCCGCCGCCCCTCGATCGGATGCGGGGATCGAGAACCCCTCACGTGCGTCTGTTGCTGTTCGTCGATTCGGCGCTTGACTGCGCCTGTTGCGTGTCAAAACACGTGTTCCTCCTTTCTTTCTCTTTTCCCCCATTCGAACTGACTTGACTCTGCCAAAAGGTGCGGTTCTCTTTTTTTGTTTCGTTTGCGGCTTGTTCGTGACATAGCTTGTGTATAGATGAATGTGTAGATATCCCCTCCTCCGTCCCCGATACGCGATACACGCGTTATACGCGACAAAAGGTTTCACACACCGCTGACGCTGTCGGGCCGACAAAAAATCTTGCTCGTCTGTTGCGGCAGCCAGCCGCACGAAGTCGGTGAACATGAAACTGGTATTGTGCATATATAATGGGCCGTGTCTCAGACATGCGCGAATTGTTACATCCGTGAGTTTTGGATCGGGCGCTGAAAAGCTCATTCGCGTATATGCCGATTTGTTTAGCATGCGTATTTCGCCGTTAGGAATATGCCCCACGAGTTATAACATATGCACAGCCAGACAAAAAAAAATATTAGCCTTTGCTTTTGACGTTCTTTCTGAAAGGCCACCGCCGCCATTGTGATGGGGGCACCGTCTGTTCGTTACACGAGGCCAATCAAGTCGACACCTGCTGTGTCTGCCACGTGTTAGATTTATCCCCATTTTCACCCGCAGTTCGTCCCTCGTTTCGAACGTCTTGAATTTCTATAAGTTCACGAAACCTAGTCGCTACTAAGCTGCGTAATAAACATTATACTCATAACAATCAGAGCAGAAATGAAGTGAAGTCAATTAAGAAAGAGATAGCCGACACTGAGAAAGTAGACATGGTCAGGTCAGCTAATGCGAGGGGTGTGGTTATCAGCGACGATACCAAGATGTGTATTCCGCGGTGACAGCAGAAGTTCGCAGGTATAAAATAGAACCAACTCTCAAGAAATTGAGTATATATTGGCGATCGCTGGCAGAGGCTTTCGTCCTGCAATGGTCATAAAATGGGCTGACAATGATGATGATTGTGCGTGAGCGTCACTTATCGACAAAGATGTACCCTCGTGAACAATATGACAGGGAAGACTGAAATTATATATTAAAGGTCATTGCGTCTATATGCAGTTGGCAAGCACAAACGTGTTCAGAACACTTGAAAATTCGGTTGGTATAAGATATCCCATGTAGTATAAATATACTATTCGTCACACTCATATCGGCATCAAGCAAAAGTCGATTAAACAACTGCTCCCTTTCGTATTGTTCACGACTGTACTGGGTCGTGTGTATACACGTTAAACAGCTATCGACTAAAGGGTGCAAAAAGACATCGCGTATGACAACGCCTGTGGAACAGTCGTGCAATATGCGGTCGCATAGCAATGGCGATCTTGGGTGAGAAAAAGCGAATCGGCTTTTGATTTAGCCCGGCTGGGCATTAGAGCTGCAACTTAATTCCCGAATACGCGTGCGCAATTCAGTCGTTTCGCTGTATATTTGGTTGATCAGTTTCTCAATTTTCGAACGCCTCCACGTTGCTTCGGCCAAGAAGAAAGTGTATCCAGTATATGCGAATGCTCTTCGCCGTTGTTACTTGCTAAATATAGCTCGAACGCTTTGTAGATACAAATTCATGCGAAGCGCCGGGAAAAAAAAAAAAAACTCAACGCGTATACCGTTTCAGTTGTTAACAGTGAGGTTCGCTTTGAAATGTGCTATAAGTGAAATATATAAATTTTCTCAACCGGCATATTCTGTTCAGTACATGAATTCACGTAAACACTGCATACTTCTGGCTTGTAATAGCCTCGTGAATTTGCAAACCGATCATTTTCAATGAAGTTCAGAAGTGCATAAGCTGAACAGTTCACAATATCTATACAGACACGCATAAACTTGGTGTATTATGGACTGGATATACAAAATGTGATTTCTGAGAGGTTAGGTGAGACGTGATAGGTGCCCTTGCCAGAACGTCTGACGGCGCGAACACGAAGGTCACATTAATCTGTGTACAAAATACGTGTGTAACCACGATTCCTCTGCGAATAAATGATTGAATGTTGCGATACTTCCGATAATGTTTTCGTATAAGAAACTCTGTGATGTCAGGCCCTTTTTTTTCCCGACAAGATCCATGAATTGAAATGGCAAAGAGCCTCCACCTGTATACATAGACTAGATCTACATACTCACTATTAAAGAACAGTTTTGCTTTAGTTTACATGTGTGTCGTCTTGTTCCTGCAGCAGAAGCTGTGCGACGGTTTAGCCGCGCTTCTGTTTCTGAATGACGCTAGCAGACTTTGCAGTAGTTGTGTCTCATCTCACTGTAATAAAATAACTATTAAATTAAAAATAGAAATGTAGCGTGTGTGTGTGTGTGTGTGTGTGTGTGTGTGTGTGTGTGTGTGTGTGTGTGTGTGTGTGTACAACAGTGCACAGAATGGAATATCCATGTTTAGGGGAAGGGAAGCAGCAAGTTTCAAAAAACTGCTAGGTATTGTTTTGTTATTATTAAATGTGTTTTAGGACAAGTTCGTATCTACAGCGGTGCCACCGCCTACTTTTGTCCTCTTACGCTACAAGTTTATTGTTCGCCACCTAATAATTCGCAAGTTTACGATAAGCCTGCATAATGTGAAATATACGCATCAAAATGTCCATTCACAACAGCAATGTTCGCACATCTATACAGTGTTTACACTTCAACGACAAAGTTTACACAAGTCTGTTACTTTGTACACGAAGATTCCTTGCACATACAGTGCTGTTACATACGTCTGTGTTTGTTGTTTCCATTTGTTTCCTCTTTTTTAAAGATGCATCTTCTTCTGACCACATTAACTGAAGTTCAGTAGTTTCCTTACATGTTTCCGTACTAGTGGCCTGTTTGTGAACGGCGAGTTCGTAAAATTGGGCTGTCTTTGGCTCTCGAGAGAATTCAGTCTGAGTGTAATCCCCGTAATATCGAACGCTCTGTATAGAGATATTCTCAAGAGCTCGAGGGTTTTTCGTTTCGGAGAGAAACCAGCTGCGTGTGTTATGCTCATATCTTTATACGTGCAGCTTTGTTCTAAGATTTGCTCGTCCTGTTTTCTAAGCTTGATGAAAATATGCTGCTGTAATTATATTTCTGCACAGGGTTTGCCCCCTTTCTAAATAGAAAGAGTGAAGTTGAACTATAGTTGGTGACGCATGCATATACTTACGAAGTAAAGAAACAGACATGGACGAAGTAATGAACACGCCACATGCGTTGCTGTTAGTCACGTTCTGTCTCTCCAATTATTTGTCCATGTGCACGCGCTGTTTGTGTACTTCGTTAATAGGCCCCCTTAATCACTGGCGCAGCCGGGGGGGGGGGGGGTCAGTGCTCAGTCTCCGCCTAATGGTTTTCGATTTCGCATGTATACCTACACGCACACATAAATACAAACGTGCGCACGGACATACATGAAGTATACGAACATATAACAAGAGATGCATTTCGGGCAAGCTTTTATTTCTTAACTTCAGTACGACTGCGCAACGAAACGACACGGACGACGTCGCTGGGTGTATCTTCTTTGTTGTCCGCGTTTTATCGTTGCGCCGTTGCACTAAATTTATAAACTATAGTTCACCCCCCTCCCCCCCCCCCCCCAAAAAAAAAAATCTGTCCATTCGTGCGCATACAGCCTTGTCACGTGTATGCTGTGAGTTTAACATGCATGTCCAATAAAGTAAGGAAAAAAAAGCAGAGAAGAATCACGAGACAGCTTCTTGAAACATAAACAAATTTTGCTATAGGCGTCGCAAAAAATAAAGTAAAAGAAAGCGTTATCCTTGTTCAATAGAAATAATCGACACGTCGCGTACGTCGTCAAACACTTCCCGCCAGACAGTGGCACAAACACGCACATACCAGCCGCAACGACGAAAACACACAAGGACAATATTAATGCGTGAGTGTTAAAAAAAACCTCAAATAGGCAGCGTTGACACCCCCCCCCCCCCTCAATCCCGACAAATGCAAAACATAAATGTCCAGGTCCCTGCAGGAATCGAACCCAAGCAATCTACCACAGTCACGCCACATCTCGGAACTCCTTTTCAATAGACCCTCATGTCCGTTAAACGTTAATTGTAGTTGCAGTGCTGACTATCCAATTTTGTAAACATTATATGTACTCCTATGACTCAGCCGTCACGTCGGGTTAACGTCAATTGTCGTCAAATGTCATGCGCTGAAGTTGGTATATATAGCAGTGTTCCGGGCTATACAATCCTCGCGAGCACCAGCGCTTCATATCAGCTTATCGCTTCTATATATATATATATATATATATATATATATATATATATATATATATATATATATATATATATATATATATATACACACACATATATATAGCTCGGCAGATCGACGTTATGCGAAGCATACGGAGGGAAGCTGACCGTGATGCAATTTTTTTTAAATGAGTGACACGTTATGAGATCACGCTAAATATATGTATAACTGTTTCATGCACAGACATATGGTGAATAGTTGCAAACTTATATATAATCAGTCCTTTGCACTTGCGCGACGATGCCATCTGGAAGATGAGTATTAGCTATACACCAGGCCTTCGACGCTAATATATATATTAGCGTCGAAAGCCCGTCCCGCGGCGGAAACATCAG